CAGGAGACAAACGATCCTGAGAAGGAAAGGAAGGAGGGGGCAGATGTTGGATATCTTTCTGTTTAAGATCCGGAGGAAGATTTTGTCCTCCCTTGGAATCCACAGCTTGTAGAGACCTTTGGCTTTGCAGTGTTCTGATATGTGACTCAGATCTTTTGTTTAAGTTGACTATTTTTCCTGTAGTTTGTTTTGGTTTAAAGGCTGCAACTGCTTTCCACCTTCTCGCGTTCACATATGTTTTGAATGCCTCTTCAAGTGCAGGGAAAAGGTTGTGAGAGATAATCAGACATGAGTAAGAAGGTTCAAGTGTATGACCAGTCTGGTAGGGAAGGAACAAACAGCTTCTTAAATTTGTGTGGAACTATACTGTGAATTGATGTATACAGTTTCATTTGATAATCTCAGTGGCCTTCTGAGCTGAGTTGATACTCAGTTTTTAGATGAGGAAACTGTCACAGTGTGCTCTGTTTAAACCTTGTTAAAATTTCAGTATGTGCCATGTGCTAGGTACCTGGAGAATCCGTGAATAAAGCAGTCGGGGTGGATACTTCCAAAGACATGGAGAGGAAAAAGTAGAGAGCTGGACTTTTAAGGAGTTGGGGGATAGTGGGTGCGCTGTCTAGTGGGAAAGAATATACTGTATTTGTATTTCAGGTTACACAGCTTGAAACCATTTTCCTTTTCTGACTGAGTAATTTTAATTTCTCTGCTGGATAAGTAGACCTCCAATTGCTCAAAGGGTGCTGATGTTTTTCTTTTTTGTTGTTGTTTTCTTTTTTTGAGACAGGGTCTCAATATGTAATTCAGGCTGGCCATGAATTCTTTCTGTAGTGTAGGCTGGCCTCAGACTTACATCTATCCTCCTGCCTCTGTCTTCGCCTCTCAAGTTTTAGGAGTACAGTCATGTACCACACACCTGGCATGATCTCTTTCTTAAAGACTTATATATTGCTAAATGCCCTTCTTCAGATGATGCTCCAAGAGCACTGTTTTGATTTGACTCATTTTATTTTCCAGGATCCCAAGATGGCTGGGCGAAAACTTGCTCTAAAAGCCATTGACTGGATAGCTTTTGGGGAGATTGTACCTGCAAACCAAAAGGCTGTTGCTAACTCTCTGAAGGCCTGGAATGAGACCCTCAGCTCCAGGTCAGTATGTTTCTCAGAGGGGGCTCTACACTTGGTACCAAATCTGGGGTCAGTGTTTTAGAATCACATAGCAATTCCTGATAATCTGACAAAAAATAAATCACCCATTTTTCAAATAAAAGTTTGTTTGGTTTTTTTTTTTTTTTTGGTTTTGTTGCTGTTTTCCATTTTCATGATAGTGCTACAAAAGAAATGTGTGATGATACTCTAGGCCATAGGAATAAAGAATTAAGAAATTCTGTGGGAATTTTCTCTTGTACATGGAACAGTCCTAACTTTCGTTTTTCTCTGTGAGCAGGTTGACAGCTCTGTCTGAGAAACCACCGGTGATTGACTGGGCTTACTACAAGGCCAATGTGGCCAAGGCAGGCTTGGTGGATGACTTTGAAAAGAAGGTAAGACTGACGATAGCTAAAGCACTGGTCTAGCGGTGTGGTGAGAAGGTACGGAATTCCATATTCAAGGTGACAGCCACAGCATAGATCCCTTAACACCTAGATCCCAAAGGAAGTTCAGGGGCGATGTGGCCAAAGGCCTTGCAGTGGTAGGTTTTAATGGTGACTAGACACAGACAATTCAAGGTGTCTTCATGCAGCAGTATTATATGGCCTTGCTCCTGGGGGTCAGAGGACTGTCAAGTTAAAAGTTCTCTCTAGCTCTTCTTGAGTTCATTTTTAGCCGCCCACCTATCTCTCTCTGGTACCACCTAACAGCTTTTCTACTGTTCTACTATTTTCCTTTCTCTACTCTTTTTTTTCCCATCCCTAACAGCTGTAATTTCTTATGTACCCATCCTCCTTTGATATACATTAAGTTTCAATAGCAAACTTTAATTTGTCTGTTCATTGGAAGATGCTTATGGAGGGGCTAGTTTGTGCCAGGCAGTGTTAATGAAGAAAATGAGAATTTCTTTAGAATTCTTTAGAATATGAGGTGCTAAGTCTACCTGTTTTGTTTTGTTTGGCGGAGGGTGGAATTCCAGTTGAGAAAACAGAAGCTTACTGTAATACAGAATTTCTTAAGGTCCTGAGTTAGTAAAATGGCTGAGAAAACCCTGTTGCTTCTCTCTCTCTCTGTTTTTTTTTGTTTTGTTTTTGAGACAAGGTCTTGCTATATAGTTCAGGCTGGCCTCAAACTCATTGCAGTCCTCCTGCCTCAACCTCCTGAATGATGGAAGTACAGGCATGTGCCACCATGCTTGGCTGCTGCTTTTCCCAGTAAAATATTCTTTTCACTACACTACACTGGAGATGGGGCTGGGGATTTAGCTCAAGGGCACAGTGCCTGCCTAGCAAGCATGAGGTCATGAGTTTGATTCCCAGTACCGGAAGAAAACAAAACAAAACAAAACAACACTGGAGATGCAGGAAACCTTAATAGTGCAGTTTCCTCTTGGGATGGAGAATGTGTTTTAATACGACCTGTAGAGAATAACAGCTTTGAACCCTTTCTTTAGACTCCTGGGTGTATTGGTAACAACGCACCTGTCTCTGTTTGTAGTTTAATGCCCTGAAAGTTCCTGTGCCAGAGGATAAATACACTTCCCTGGTGGATGCTGAAGAAAAGGAAGATGTAAGTGGTTGCTGCTCCTTTTTAAAAAATTACTTTCATTTTTATTAGTACATGTTTGTACTACATAATGATTACATTCATTGTGGTAAGTTGGTACATGTCCATAACACATCTTTATTCTTTTTTACTTCCCATCTCTTCTCCCTCTCCTCTCCTGCCATCTGTAGATCCAGTGATGCTCCTAAGTATTCTAAACAGTTTTTTGGTCTTTTTTGAGACAGGGTCTTGCTAGGTAACTCAGGCTGGCCTTAAACTTGTGGCGATCCTTGTGGCGATCCTCCTGCCTCAGCCTCCTGAGTACTGGGATTACAAGCATGGTCCATAAAATTTTTCTTAATAGTGACAGTTTTATGTCTTGCAAGCGTGAGGTCATGAGTTCGATTCCCAGTACCACCAAACAAAACAAAACAAAACAAACAAAAATAGTGACAGTTTTAGCCAGGTGTGGTGGTGCATGCCTGTAATCCCAGCATTCAGGAGTCTGAGGCAGGAGGATTGTTGCGAGTTCAAGACCAGCCTGGGCTACAAAGTGAGCTCAAAGCCAGCCTGAACTGCATAGCAAGACCCTATCTCAAGAAGACCTAAAAAAACTAGCGACAGTTTTGTATTTTCTAGCAACTAGGATAAGGCAAAGTGAATTAAGTTACAAATTAAGGAGTTGACAGTAATAGAAAGGAATCAACTGTTAATAAATGTAAAATTATTATGCTGAGTATAAGAAGCGAACAGGAGAAAAGTGCATACCATATGATTGCACTTGTTTAAATCTCTAGAGACTGTAGCTCATCTGTAGTGACAGTGCTTGCCTGGGATGGGAAGAAGAGTGATAATGTGTCCACTACTTTGAAGGTGGTCGTGGTTTCACAGGTGGACGTGTAAATCAAATGGCGCTCGTAGTATCATATGGCAGTTAGACTGCAACAAAACTGAAAAAACAATTGAGGAATTGGAATTAGGTAGAAGAATTACCCAAGCTGTATTCAGATGCCTATTTGCTTAAAAGCACTGCAGACCCAGACGGTTCCACCGAAGAGAAGGCTGGCTTGGTGGTCACAGGGCTTGTCCTGACCACTCAGTGCCCGGCCCTAATGAGAAGGGGTTCCCTACGCTATTCTGCCTGCATGTCTTTGTGGATAACTGGAAAAGCTGTGATTCGCCTCCTAAAATGCCTCCACAGTCAAGGCAGCAGGAAAGCCAAGGCAGGCGGGAGCCCCCATCATGTCTTGGGAGCCCCAGGGTCTGGGCTTAACTTGGTTTCAGAACAGAATTTTTCTCTTTTCTTAAAGGTGAAAAGTTGTGCTGAGTTTGTGTCTCTCTCGAAGGCCCGGATTGTGGAGTATGAGAAAAAGGTAAGGATGCCTGGTACATGCCCATGGTGCGTTTCCTTCCTGGCATAGCCACACAGCTCTCATTCATTGGCAGTCCCCTGCCTTAGATTCTCGTTGTACATCTCCACGGCACTGTTCCTTTACTAACACACTTCTGTTCTTTCCAGCTGGAGAAAATGAATAACATGATTCCATTTGATCAGATGACCGAGGAGGACTTGAATGAAGCCTTCCCAGAAACCAGATTAGACAAGAAGAAGTATCCCTATTGGCCTCATCAGCCAATTGAGAATTTATAAATTTGAGTGTTGGAGAGAGCTCTGGCCCTTACATTACAAACTCTGGATGTTAAAAATAAAAAATATATAATTCTGGGCATGTGACCTCACTGGTTAATATAGTTAAACCTTTCATCTGAGGTGGCCTCACTGGAATTGGGCATTTTGTTAAGGTGAAAAGGTGCCTAAACGTGTGTTGGGCCAGTCCTGTAGCAATCAGGATGTGTACAGCCAATGACTGAGGCCTCAAGGCTGCTAAATTTCAATCAAAAACAACAGGGCCCATGATAGTGTAGTTCCCTGGAATATGGTAAAGAGGGATTATCTTGCTGAGGCTCTTGAACTCCTCATATTCAAACTGCTGGTGCTAAGGAGGTGTTCCCTTCTGCACGTCTTTAGTAGAACTACTGTCCAGATTGCAGGTATGAGAGCAAAGCCTGGTTTTTGGTTTTAGGCTTTTTGAGGCAGGGTCTTGCTATGTCAGTCAGGCTGACCTTGACCTCACTGTGTAGGCCAGGCTGGCCTTAAACTTGTAGCAATCCTGCCTCCATCTCCCAAATGCTGGGATTATAAGTGTGAACCACCATGCCCAGTGGCCTGGCTTTTTTTTATACTGCAGTTTTTAAGTCCGGAAAGAAACAGGAAACTTAAAAGTTAACTATTACAAGTGTTTGTATTTGAACTCAGAAAAACAATTTTAACTCCATTTAGTTTTAAAATTCCTACTAGAAGCTGAGCACTGTGGCGCATATGTATAGCTTCAGCTACTCAAGCTGATGCAGGAGGATCACCTGAGTTCAAGAGTTTGCAACCAGCCTAGGCAACATAGTAAGGCCCATCTCAAGAAAGTTTTAAAAATAAAATCAGTCAAGGTGGTGCGAAGAGTTGCCATTGAAATCAAAAGAGCTAGGGGCTGGGGATTTAGCTCAGCGGCAAAAGCGCCTGCCTGGCAAGCGCAAGGTCGTGAGTTCGGTTCCCGGTACCGGAGAAAAACCAAAAAAAAGAAATCAAAAGAGCTAGTATGCCTACCATGTAATTGGTGTTTTTAGGCTAATTGTTTACTGTTTCAGGACTTTAATTTTCTCATTTAAAAGCATTGGGATTCACTTGGAAGGCTGAGGCAGGAGGATCGTTGCAAGTTCCAGGCCAGCCTTGACTACAAAGTGAGCTCAAGTTCAGCCTGAACTGCATAGCTAGACCCTGTCTCAAAAAAAAACCAACAAAAAACCATTGGGATTATAATGAGAAATAAGACAACCTGGGAAGTATCTGGATATCTAAGCAAAACCATTTGGCTTATGTCCTATAGGAAAGGCGTGCATATGAAAGGTAGCACACAGATCAAAAGCTGGCCCTACGTGGTGGCTCCAGAGGCTGAGGTAGAGGAGTATCACCATGAATTCAAGGTCAGCCTGAACTACATAGCAAGACCCTGTCTCAACAAAACCAAATCCAAACCTGCTATTTTTTTGTTGTTCTTTTCCGGCACTGGGAATCGAACCCACAACCTTGCCAGGCAGGCACTGTGCCGCTGAGCTAAATCCCCAGCCCCCAAGCCTGCTATTTTTGCAAATACTACAGATGGATTCTATTGGAGAAAAGCAGTGTTGGCTGATAACTCCTGCAAAGTCAGTGCTGTGGTAATGTAAGCAATGAGAGACGGGCCATCCCTCCTGATTTGTAGGCGGGACACAGGCCGCCTCTGGGAGGTAGTAAGGCAGGGGCTGCTGCCCCTGAAGCTGATTAGTCATACAGTCCGATTGGATGGAGACCTTCAGTGGTGGCTGTGCCTTTAATGTCCAAAACAGAAAAATGAGTGCTCTGCAGACAGCTGAGTCACTGGCCTGGCACCCAGCCATCGAGCAGAAGATCTAAGGATTCAGACAACAGCCAAGTGAAAACATGGAGACTCCCAAAGTAAATCCAGTTTACTTGAGCATGGTTGGAACTCATGCTGATCAAAGAAGGCCTCCACAGGAGTCCTGTGGAAGTATGGTAGCATGAAGGGAGGCACCCCTAGCTTCTAAGGGAGCTGTGGGAGGGTTTCCTGTAAGACACAACAGTGACTGGCTGGGTTCAGCTTCTCAGTCAAGGCGTGAAGACGGGGCTAGAGTACTCTTCTAGATTATAAGGCATTATTGAATTGCACACACATTGAGTTTTTTACATTTAGTTATTCTTTGGGTTCTAGGAGTCACCCAGTGTTTTGCACATACTACCCTCATGCTCTACCACTAGGTGACGTCCCCACACCCTAATTTTACATTTGAAAAATAAAGTTAACCGTAAGTAAAATAGGATTATGATTTAAGAGAGGGAAAATAAATTACAGCAAGTTATAGAGAGCCCTTCCCGATCCTCCTTGTGGCCCCGGAAGTTTATATTTGTAATCCCATGGAAAAGTTATTGGAATTCTAGTGAGCTAATTCCAGTCTTACCACCTCCAGTGCAACCCATGGTGAGAATAAAGATCCTAAGGCATATATGTAGTAGTGGGGAGCCAAGGGGCCCTAAGTCCAGCCGCTGTTAGATCCTCCACATTGGACCCCACCCACGTTGAAGAGAAAAAAACCCCAACAGACCAGTTTGTTCAAATAGAAAACCTTTATCCAGCCAAGAGACCGAAATAAATAATAAGGTCAGTTCTCAGGCTTACAGGAAATCCCGTAAGTCTACAGAACGCCACTCTAAGTCAGCAAAATGCCGGTGTTATCCTGTGCTTCCTGCCAGAGGCACCAGACCCCCGCAAACTTAAAATGGTCCGTCTCCCTCGGAGGGACCCCCCTCTCCCCTGCTTAAACTCCCTTATAAAGCATATCCTCTTCGTTTGTTGGGGGCCAATGGTCTTTTTGCCCTTGGCCTGGCCCCACCCAGTCAGAAATAAACATAATGCTGTTGTTTGCTTCAGCCCTGCCTGTTCTAGTGGTCTGGGGTTACTGCTTGGGGTTTAGCCCTACAGCCATGACGATGGCTGTGCGGAACAAAGGCCTCAACCAAGGCCAAACCTGAGTTTTACTAATTCGTGAAGAAAGGAGTGGCTTGAGGATGAGCGACTGAGAATCACAGGAAGTAGGTGAGTGCTGTGAGCCGGGCTAGGTAGGAGGCCTGAAATTATCTCTGCAATAGGCAGAGAAGGATATGCAGAAAGAGTAATCTGCACAGCACAACTGAGATATCTTAATGTTTTGGTGTTGGTGCTTCAGCTCTGATGTGTCAGGAAGTCATAGCCTCTATCTCGAGAATCAATCCTAGCCGACAGCATGGAGCTTTGGCTCTTCATCCCGCCTCATCTAGGGTCACATGTGGGAACAACGGGGGATCCAGGCAAACACTGCCTGCTGTCTTCAAAGACTACCTCCAGCACCTCGGCTGGACCAACGTGCATTGCTTAAAGCCAACCGAAGGGATGAGGAAAAGTCCCAGCCAGCTCTGTACATATCACTACACGGAAATAGGGTCAGGTTTGGCCAAAATGGAGACAACTGTCCCTCCTTCAAGGAGAGTTGCCCAGGTGGTCCTCCACAGCAACTTACAGAGTTTAGTGAAAACAGAAATAGCATCAACAGAAACAAACAGCCAGTTGTGTTTGCCTGTAATCCCAGTACTTGGGAGGCCGAGGCAGGAGGATGAGCACAAGTTCAAAATAGTTCAAGATCAGCCTGGGCCATACAGTGAGACCTTGTCTCAAAAAACTAAAAACACAAAATAACACAAGTAAACATAACTGAAGATTGAATCAGTAAAGACCTCTATATGAAGTACAATTTAAACTGGACAGTCCCAAATCAGTATAAGCTGATCATCTTTGGCTTGGTTGGATATACTAGGGGTGCTAACTTACTATACTATAAACAGTAATTGAAGGAAAATACAAGCATTTATCAGGCTTTTGAACAACTGTATTTCAAGATAAATAGCACAACTTGAAAAGGGAAATTCTTTACGAAGTATTCCAATAACTGAAAAAATTACGTTAAAAAAAATCACTATTTTGAAAACTAGATTCCAGTTTAGAGGAAATATCTATGAGGAACAGGTTAAATGACACCATGAAGAAAGAAGCAGATAAATCTACAATGTGGGATATGCTACAGGAAAACTACCTCATTTTCAATAAGTTAATGGTGCTGGGAAGGGAAGGCAGCATGAGCTTAATAGAGGTAGAAGAGACTCAGTATCAAAAGGCTGCATGTTGTCCTGATTTGGACTTGGATTTATACCAGTTAGCTGAGAAGCGAGCCTTGGGACAGTGTATGGGTTGTCCTTCCTCTGGTGCCATTCTGTGTAGATCTTGGTAATTTCCCCTTCAAACCATTCCATTTCCCCGTAAGTGGTCTCCCGGCCTCTACTCTCACTCATCCGCAATCCATTATTCAGGCTGTGGCCAGAGGAGCCTGGGCCATACAGTGATAATGCTTTCAGAAAGCATAATGATTATTCTACTGCCCTGCCTTCCCACCATCCACCTCTCAGTGAGGTTCTCACCCCACTGACAGTCACAGTGGAATTGCTAACCATACCTCCTACTCCACCCTTACCAGCAGGCATTTGCAATTCCTATTCCCACTAGAACTCAGAAAGACCTGGAAGATTCTAGAACAGTGATGGCAAACCATTTCAGAAACCGAGTGCCCAAACTGCAATCCAAAAGCCACTTATTTATCAAAAAGTGGGCTGTAATCCCAGCCCTTGGGAGGCTGAAGCGGGAGGATTGTTGCGAGTTCAAGGCCAGCCTGGGCTACAAAGTGATCTCAAGGCCAGTCTGAACTGCATAGTGAGACCCTGTCTCAAAAAGACAAAAAGACACCCCCCCCAAAAAAAATGCCAACACGGCAATGAAACCCAAATACTGGGGTTTTAATTTATTTTTGTTAAATATTTATTTATTTATTTATTATGTCTTTCTGAGACAGGGTCTCACTATGCAGTTCAGCCTGGCCTTAAGCTCACTTCGTGGACCAGGCTGGTCTCAGATTTACAACAATCCTCCTGCCTCAGCCTCCTGAGTGCTAGGATTACAGGAGGTCGCCACCATGCCTGGCCCTGAGGTTTTAGTTTAGAAAAAACAACTGTTATCTGGTGCTTGGCTGCTGGGATGCT